AGAATTGAAGATAAACTCACCCAATGAAGACTTTTCAAACTTGCCATTATGAAGGTCTCTGATAGCTTTAAGATGGTTAATAGGCAATTTCTGAAAGTGATTAGAAAGTGAGGTTTGTGAACTTTAAAAGGCTCCACCATGGTTGCAAGCAAAATGGCTGATCCGTTCATCTCCTGGCACTCAAACCCACGGAAAACTGCTGTCCTGCGGTCTCCTTATGAGGAGCAGCCATCTGGAGCACATGTGGGCAATCTCTTGTCCTCTTTTTATCCAGAGAGGTTCCAAGAAACCATTGTACTCACCAGTTCCTTGATCTTTGCTGTAGTCATCAGCTCTGTTTTTGCAGGGCTGTCTTCAGTTCACCATACCTTCCCCAGAAGTCCCATCTATAATATCTTTCTGGACCTTCTGCAAAATGTGTTGGAGATACCATATTATGATGGCTCCCCTTACTTCCTGAGTGCTGGTCCAATCAGAAATAGTACAGGAAAAGGTGTTTTATTTAATAGAACAGAGGAAAAAGTAACAAAGAGAAAAAATGCAGTAACCACAGGATAAATTCAATCCGGTTACTCCCAAGCAAGTGGACAGAGTCCTTGGGTTGCTGAGTTCTACCACCTCTGTGTTAGATCCATGTCCCTCCTGGTTGGCCAAGGCCTCTCAGGAGGTGACATATAGCTGGATCCAGGTGGTAGTAAATGTTTCTTTGCAGGGGGGAGTGGTTCCACATGCCTTGAAGGAGGCAGTGATGCGCTTCCTCCTCAAGCAGTCATCACTGGATGTGGAAGTACTGTACAATTTTCATCCAATCTCCAGCCTTCCCTTTTAGGTATACAACTAGCCTAGGTATACAACTTCAAAGAGCTGTGGAGGAAGTGATTTTTCTGGACTGGTACAGTCAGATTTCTTGCTGGGGTATAGTACCACGATGTCATTGATCATGCTTGTGGATGATCTCTGGCAGGCCTGGGATAGGAGTTGTGTATCCATCCTGACCTTACTTGATATCTAAGTGGCTTTCAATACCATAAAACATATGGACCGGCTGGGTGGTTGGGAGTGGTAGGCACAGTTTTTCAGTGATTTTTCTCCTTCTTCCACGTCCAGTTCCTTTTGGTGTTGGGAGGGGGGAGTTTAACCCTATGCCTCTGCTTTATAGAGTGCTGCATGGCTTGACTGTCTCCCTGCTCCTTTTTAACATCTATAAGAGGCAGCTGGTTGAGGTCATCTGTTGGCATTGGGTCAAGTACCATCTGTATGCTGATAATACTTAGTTGTACATCTCGTCCTGTTCAAGTGATGCTGTGAAGGTGTTTTCAGTGCCTAGAGGCTGTACAGGTCTGGATAGGGAAGAACCGGCTTCAGCTCATCCCTATAAGGCCAAGTGGCTGTAGGTTTTAGGACTCCCTGTATCTAGTGATTTGCCATCTTTAACTCTAGCTGGGGTGACAATCTAGAGGTTCTTTTCAAGTGTCTCCAAAGTTGCTTTCAAATGTGACCTTGTTCTGCACTTTAAAAAGTTTCAGCCCATTTTGCCTAGGTAATAGCATATCTCTGTCAAGGTTGTCTTCCTTACTTTCTACACAGTCACTCATGCCTTGGTCACCTCCAGATTGGACTATTTGGGGCACCCCTTGAATAGCATTTGGATGCTGCAGCTGGTCCAGAATGCATAACACCAGTTCTGCATGAGTTGCTCTGGCTCCCAGTATGTTTCTGGGTGTAATTCAATGTGCTGTTTGTAACCTTTAAATCCCTATATTGCATTGAAAATACTTTTAAAAACTGATTACCAGTAAAATTTTAATTTTACACGAAAAGCATATTTATACATTGACCACAGAATAATAGATGGAAGTGGCTCTTCCTCAACAATCTTGCAGATTCTTGGTATATAACAGTTAAACTTGTGTGTCTTGATCTGTCTCCTCCCAATTTATGAATTATAGGAGCAGGATGAATATCCACAATGTGACAGATTACATCAGTAAGTTGCTTAGTGAACTAGAACCTTCCGCATTTTGTGTTTCATCTTGTGTGGAAGTCTAAGCATATAGGATTCTTTGCTAGAGATATTCATATTCAGTCCATTATGTATTGGGGAGGAGAACAAGGCCATAGCTGAACTCTCTTACTGCATATAATATCTGACACAATTTTGGCCATGCTAGAATGTTATAAACTATGTGTGTATAGGAGGTTAATGAATACATTATAAGGTGTCTATATTCTTGCAGGTATCCTGTTTTTTTCATCCAACACGAAGTGAAATAACAAGCCTTGACAGTGGAAATATAGATGATATTTTAAGTAAGTATTGCTGAATGCTTATTCAGGACTTTATTTATTACCTTGATTTGTATAGCTGCCCGTCTCACAATTGTGACTCTAGGTGGCATGGACAGGATGACACTTAACAAACAAAAATAAGAACAATAAAGAACAATAATTCAATATCACAATCGCAGTCAAGGACAATCAGATTCAGGCCACATAATTACAGTCATGTCAGAGAAACCACAGTGATGGGTCATCCAACCTATAGGACCCATGCCCAGGAGAGCATTAGATCTTCAAGGATTTATAGAAAGCTAATAGGGTTGGGGCCAAATGAATTTGGAGAGGTATGATGTTCCAAAGGGCAGTTCTATGATAGATAAGCCCCACTTCCTTAATACATAGTAGATGGGACCCAGAGCATACCCAGCCTGCCAGATCTAGTGGGCCAGGCAGAAACAATTGGAGAAAGGTGGTCCCACAAGCAAGCTGGCCCCATGCCATGAAGGGCTTTAACCAGCACCTTGAATTGCACCTGGAAGCCTAGTGGGAGCTAGTGCAGTTCCTGGAGCAGTGGTGTAACATGGGCAAACTGAGGTGTTCCCATTAACCGCCCACACTGCCACATTCTGGACCAGCCGCAGCTTCCAAGTGGATTTCATGGGCAACCTTAAGTGCATTACTATAATTCATTTAGGAGGTGACCAAACCATGAATGACCTTGAGCAATGCCTCCTGGTCCAGGAAAGTTTACACTTGGCACACATGACGAATCTATGCAAAAGCCTTCCTGGCTATGGCTGCCTTGTGTCCCTTGAACAGGAACCATGAGGGTAGGAGAACCACTGGGATCTGTCTAAAACAGTGCAATCCCATCAAGAACTATGGATGGAAAACCTCTGGATCTGGGAGGCCCTGAAACCCAAAGCCACTTGGCCTTGCTAGGGTTTATTTTTTATTTTATTTATTTACTGGACTTATTTGACCGTCTATGTCATATAATGACTCTAGGTGGCTCACAGTCCATAAAAACAAAAGTACCCTTTTCCCCAGGCCCCAGAACAAGCATCCTCACAGCTCAACCCCCAACCTATCCCAATGCTTGGGGGAAGACTCAGGTCTTCACAGCCCTCTGGAAGGCTAAAAGAGTAGGGGATCCCTCAGATCTCAGATGGGAGGCTGTTCCAAAGGGCTGGGGCAGCCACCAAGAAGGTGTGCCTCCAAGGTCCTATCAGGTGGCAACATTTAAGGGAGGGGACCTGGAGCACACCCACCCTATCTAATCTAGTAGGACAGGCAGGTACCCTCAGGGAGAGGTGGTCCCATAAGTAACTTGGCCCTGTGCCATATAGGGCTTTAAAGGTGATAACCAGCACCTTGAATTGTACCTGGAAAGCAACTGGAAGCCAGTGCAGTTCACACAGCAGTGGTGTTACTTGGGTGAGCCATGAGGCAGCCAAAACTGCACATGCCACTGCATTCTGGACCAGTTGCTGCCTCCGAAGGGTTTTCAAGGGCAGCTATATAGAGCACATTGCAGTAATCCAAATGGGAGGTGACTAAAGCACGGGTGACTGTGAACAAGGCCTCCTGGTCCAGGAGTGAGTCCAGTTGGCATGTAAGATGGCCTTATGCAAAGACACCACTACCACCCCTGGTTATGGCTGCCACCTGCTCTTCCAGCAGGAGCTGTGAGTCCAAGAGGATCCCCAAGCTGCAAACCAGATCTGTCCAGGGAAGTATTCCTTGTCCAGAGTCAGAGATGTCAACTCTCCTGACCCCAAGGGGCAAAAAACCCACAATCACTCCATCTTGCTAGGGTTGACTTGCAGTCAGTTTCTTCTCATCCAGGCCCTTAAAGCCTCCAGGCACTGAGCCAGCACCTGAACAGTATCATTTGCCCATCATGGGGTAGAGATATATAGTTGGGTATTATCAGTATATTGATGATACCGAATCCCATGACAGTGGCTTCATATAGATGTTAAATAGGGGAGAGGCATAATATAATAGGGCCACATAATAGGGCCCTCAGGCTGGACCTCTCCTCCCTCACTAGCACTGATTGATATCAGCCATGGAGAAAGAAGACCAGTACAAAACAGTGCCCCCTGCTCCCAGTTCCCGGAGCTGGTCCAACAAGATGCCATAGTCGATGGTATCAAAAGCTGCTGAGAGATCCAGAAGGGCCAGGATGGACACACTACCCAAATCCTGAGCCCTCCAAAGGTCATCCATAAGTGCGACCAGTGCTGTCTTGGTACTATAGCCTGGCCTGAATCCTGACCGAAAAGGGTCCAGATAATCTGCTTCATCCAAGGTTCTTTATAGCTGGGAGCTCACCATCTTCTCCACAGTCTTCCCTAAAAAGGGAAGGTTAGACACTGGACAGAAGTTATTCAAAACTGTAAGGTCCAAGGATGGCTTCTTGAGGAGGGGGTGAATCACTGCCTCTTTCAAGACTGGCAGAACCACCCCCTCATGTGAGGTGGCATTTACCATTGCTTGGACCCAACCGCATGCCACCTCCCGAGAGGCCTTAACAGACTACAGGTGGCAGAGCTCATAGCAGTAAGGACCCTGTGCACTTCCTCAGGATTGACCATTTTGGACTCTTCCAGATAACCAAGCTAGGACATGCCTCAATCACTTCCACTAGATCTGCCCAGCCAGAGTCCAACTTTCAATGAAGTCAAGCGACTTTATCTGACAGATGCCTAGAATAGTCCTCACACTGACCCTGCAAGGGCTCACTCCCCCCCCCCTTACCCAGGAGGGCCCTGATCACCTGAAACAGGGCCACTGGCCAGCCATCTGTGGACACAATAATGGGTTGAGTCAAAGCCTGTTCTTCCCCATCCAGACGCCCCCTCCCTAGCCTCCAGGCACTGAGAAAGAACCTCAGCAGCATCATTTGTCAGCCTGTGGTAGAGATGTTTAGTTGATACCTAACCCCATGCTGATGGATGGTCTCACCTAGCAGCTTCATGTAGATATTAAACAGGAATGGGGAGAGAACAGAAACCTGGGGAACCCCATAGAAAAGGGGCCTTTTATCAAATCTCTCCAATCAATACTAACTGGAACTGGCCCTGGAGGAAGGAGAACCACCACAATACTGTGCCCCCCACTCTCAACTCCCTGAGCCAATCCAGAAGGATACCATGATTAATAGTATTGAAAGCTGCTGAGAGATCAAAGAGAGTGAGGATGAGTGTACCACCCCCATCAGAGGTCATCCACAAGTACTGTCAGTGCTGTTTCAGTCCCGCTGCCCAAGTCTGAAACTTGACTGAAAAGGGTCCAGATAATCTGCTTCCTCTTCAGGGTCCTCTGAAGCACAACAACTTTCTCAAGAATTTTCCCTTAAAAAAGAAGGTTGGAGACAGGACTAAAATTGCCTAGCACAGTTAGTTCCAGTGATGGCTTTTTGATGGGGGATCACTGCCTCCTTCTCCTCTCTCAAGGATTAATTCTCCACCACCTGGACAACCCTCTCTCTCTCTCAAGGATTAATTCTCCATCACCTGGACCTAATCACATGTCTTCTGGAAGGCCTTGATCAGGCAGGAGGACATGGATCTAAGTTACAGGTAGCTGAACTCACAGTCCTAAGGATTCTGTTCACTTCCTCAAGACTAATAGGATCAAACTTATCCCAGGTAACAAAGCTAGATTGCGCCTCTATCAACTCCATAGGACTTGCCATGCAGTAGTGTCCAGCCAGCTCAGCAAAACTTGGCAATTTTATCCAATAAATGGCCAGGGTATGAATGGCCCTGAAGGTATGACCCAGGCTCTATCCTACCCAGGAGGGACCTGAATAGGGCTACTTGCAGATACAATAGGGGTGGAAAAATATATACATCTTGCTGCCCTTATTGCCATGAGTAAGCCCTGAATAATGGCTCTAACCCATGTTCTGTCACTCTTTGTTGTCCTCCAGCAGTGCTCTAGGTGTCTCTTCTGTTATTTTATCTGTTGGAGTTTCTCTGCAAATCAAGGGAGCCCTGGGTTCCACAGACAGCAAGAGGCTGCATAGGTGCGACTGATCCAAAGCCACAGCCACCCCTTCATTCTAGACAGTAACCAAAGCCTCAGTCAAACTGCACCAGACCTTTAGGAGACAGCCCCAATCCATCAGGTGCCTTCAGGACTAAATAGATCCTTCTCCCTGTGGTGGAAAGCAGCACTAGAGCACTTCAGAGCAATCAGAAAGTGATCAGTTCATGGCAAGGGAGTGATGGTAAGCTCCCCCAAGACCAAATCACAATCCTAAAGACAAATCCTAAGACCACCAAACCCCATCACCAAATCCTAAGACAAAACCTAGATCCAACATGTGACCACCATTATGTGTTGGGCCCTAGGTGACCCAACACCTAGGTCTGTGGTTGCTATGATGGTCATGATCTCCTGAGCCATATTGGAATTTGCCCCCAAGGAGAGCAGGTTGAAGCCTAGGAAACTTCATTGCCAACTTAGCTACAAAGTCAAGAAACTTAGGCAGGGAAGTTGCTACACAGCAGGGAGGCTGGTACAGCAATAACAATCCCAACTGATCCCTAAAGCCCAGCTTTACACATAGGGTCTCACAGTCAATAATCTGTGAGGCAGCACCTCTGAAAACTTCAAGAGTAGTTTTGATTACAATAGCACGTCTACTGTCCCAACCCTGCACACTCAGCTAATGCCACACCTGAATCCAGGATGGGTACATTTCTGAGAGGGCAACGCCCCTGCCCCCCACCTCCAAACCAGGTCTTGGTAATAAACAGATTTCTCATCCACAAGTCACAGATGAGAAGAGCTTTATTACCAGCTAAGTTGGCGTTCAGTTGCAGCAATTGAAACCCCAAACCTCTGACAGTCTGTTGATCAGGCATTGGGAAAGAGATCAGGAAAAGCAAAACCAGTACATGACACTGAGACTGACTGTCCCCTGTTTGGCCATCTCCCACCATATCTCCATCTGTCCATTCCACATGCTCCTGCTTGCCCCCTGCCCCCCAAAACTAAACCTTCCGTGTCCCTGAAACCAAACCTATGTTAAATAGGCTTGAGTTCTGTTCCTGCAATTTATTGTGAATTCATTAAGATAGGCATTGCAGCCAGATTTTAAAATACTCTGGGAAAAATATTTAAGTATGACTATATTCTCAGTCCTTTCATAATTATAAGTGCAGTCTTGAGCATACTTGCATAATATCGAAGCACAAGTATTTAGAACCTAATGACATAAGTAAATAATGCCATAATGCTAAATTAAAATCAAGTTAGACAAAGTTTTAAAAGTATTATTCTCTTTGGAACTTTATCATTGCTAGGAAGAGACGGGAAGCATCCTTAATACAAATACCAAAGCAAAAACATTAGGTATATGTTATGCTTTAGTTACACTAAATTCAATGGAATGTAAATTACTATGGTTAATGAGTCTCATTAATGATTTCAGTGGGTCTATAGTGTATCTAATAATGCTCTGCAAATCCTTCAAAATAGGTGTTATAGGATGAGCATACAAAGCATCTCTTTGCAAACTATTAAAGCAGCTATGTCATTTTTCCAGGTGATTGTAGCTGCAGCTTTCAAAGCAGCCATATGAACCTGTAAAAAAAATCTTTTAAAGTATTTGCACAGCCCAAATTCATAGTTTTTTCTGAATCAGAAACATTATTAATCTTTGGTTGCATGTAAGAGCTAGAGCAGGGGTGAGGATAGGAATCTATATTCTCTTAAATCTAAAAAAAATAATTGTGGGTTTCTTTTTATCTCTTGTGACTTGGTTCAAAAGAGCCTAAGCAAATGTTAATTCTGCTTACTGTGATAGTTCTCCTGTGCTAGCTAGTCATGTGAAAGTGCAGCACAGATCCTAAAACATTAGTAGGGAATTGGAAGACTGGTGTAGGTGCTTTCACAAAATGGCGGCCATGCTGGGTGTTGCGCAGTTACAAAAATCTTATTTCCCAGATCAATCAGTGAGGGTAAAATAAAGTAATCTGCACCACATCACTATAAGAAAGCAATTAAATTTGAGCTCCAAAATGCAAAGCAGTTACTTTATTAGAACAGAAAAACTGTGGATTCCGCTCTTTCACAGAAGACAAGATTAATGAAGTTCAGAATCAAGTAAGTTCACCAAGAAACTGAAGACAAGGCAAGGGCAGGTTCTGAAATCCAACTACCACATCAATTACATGCCCCCATGAAGGACAGCAAAAGCTATTTTTTATAAGCAAAACATCCAGCTATTCTGTCCTCTTAATGTGGACCAAAAACCCTACATAAAACAGGCACAGAACAAAACATCCTCAGTGTAGCACACAAGAATCCCTCAAACTGAGGGTTATATTGCTACCTAGTTTATTTGCACAGGGAACGACAGTGAAAGGTATGGAAAGGGCTATGTATTATTTTCAGATTGAGACACTAGTTTAAGTAATGGTAAAAGAAATTTTGAACCAGGTGGATCCTTTGCTATTCAAATGCTGGTATTTTTAAGTTGTGCATTTACCATATCCAAAACCTATGGATTCTTTCAGCAGCATTCACCTTTCAACGAGCAGGGACACTGTGCATAGAACAATGCACTCTAGAAAGAACTAGGCCCACTGAAATCTTAATTGAACTAGAGGAGAAAGTTTTTTTAGAGTGAGGGCAAAGAGAAAGAGAAGCTAGCTTAATAATTCTGTAATTGAAGCAATATTAATTTATTATGAGTTCTGATTTATCCAAATGTTGCCTGCTGCCTTTCTGAAAACTGTAACTTCATTATTCTTTTTCTGTGCTGTTGTTCTATCTGGTTCAGGTTTTTATGTATTGGCTTTGTGATGTCACAAACATTAATTAATTTTTCTTTTTGCCAGACAATGCAGATGTTGCATTAGTGAATTTTTATGCTGATTGGTAAGTATTTCTACACAAACACATATTTTTATTAATATAGAAATAGGGACTATTTTTTATTTTTTAAAAGTATTTATCAATGTAAGATACTCAAACAGAGCCTTTGGAATATAAAATTTAGTACTTTTACAACTAAATATATGAATGCACTTTCTCAAGTCAGTACTCTTCAAAAGTATACTGTATTGGTATTCAACTGTGAGCATATTATACTTATAATTTATTCCCCAGGAATGATCTCTTGAAACCTAGGGACTGATTAGATTTCCTTTTCCTTCTTTTTTTATTACCAAGAAAAATAAACCCCTTCTTGAAGGATTAGGAAAATATTCAGATTAGATTTCCTTGGTTCATTAATTTATCTGTACAGGTAGTCCTCACTTAATGACTTTCTGTTTAGCAACCATTCAAAGTTACGATGGTGCTAAAAAGTGACTTACGACTGGTGCCTGAAGTTACGACCGTCGCAGTGCCCCTTCAGTCATATGATCATGATCTGGGTGCTTGGCAACCAGCTCTCACAACAGTTGCAGCATCCCAGAGTCATATGATCACCATTTGCAACCTTCCCAGCTGGTTTCTGGCAAGCAGATTCAATAGGGAACCATGTGATTCACTTAACGATCACAGTGATTCGCTTAATGACCACCACCAAAAAAGGGTATAAATCGGGTCCGGTCACGTGATGATTGGTTTAATGACTACATCATTTAGCGATCTAAATTGTGGTCGTTAAGTGAGGACTACTTGTATAGAGAAATCTATTGTGCAGGCTGTTTGCTTTAAATAGTGTTATATGTGATACTAATAGTGTGAAATCCTCAAATATTTTATTTTCAGAAATTGGCCCTTATTTGATGTCTTTCAACAGGTGTCGATTTAGTCAAATGCTACACCCTATCTTTGAGGAAGCTTCCAATGTAATTAAAGAGGATTTTCCAGATCAGAATCAAGTTGTATTTGCCAGAGTAGATTGTGATCAGCACTGTAAGTAAACTGTTTTAAAAACTTGTTTATGTTTTAAATATCTAGTTGAGAAATTCAAACATGAAAACTGTTGCTGGAATAAACTATGATCTTGCAGTGTATTACTGAACAAAGTTATGTTGCTGATTAAAAAATTGATTATGTGCCATCAAGTCAATGTCGATTTTTAGCAACCACATAGTTATATTTTCCTCCTTGACAATCTGTCCCTATCACCTATCACCATTGTAACTGAGTCCATCTACCTTTCTACTGGTCATAATTAATTAATTAAAAATTAAAAATTACATTTCACTTTTAATGAGTTCTTCATTTCTTCAAAGTTTCTGTTGAACACTAGTCAAGAATCACATTACTTATTTCATTTTTCTCCAAGATTAGAATTGCATTCTCTGCAGAAAGAGTATTTAAATGTCTTGTTTTGGCAAGGTACATTTGTCTGTATTTTTGTTTCTGAATGTGGCTTATAATTAGCATTTAGGATTATTTGGGAACAAGTTTCATTTACAATGTAAATGTCATCCTTCTTTATGTAACTGCAATGCCTGCAGGAAGCAGAAATAGGTCCTTTTTCCTAACTGTATTCAGAGTGGTCAGCCTAACATAGCTGTCTTCTTTTTGATGTACAATTGATCAGGCATGCTGCAGACTCTAGCAATTCCTACCAGTCTTTTAAGGCACAGCAAATGATAAGGAATTATTGATGGCTTTTACAATGTTTGATGTCTAATAACAAAATGTCACTTTGCCTGCTCTTAGAACCAATATAAAGATGTTTTGCTGGAGAATGTGTGGAGCTTTGATGTGATCCTAGACAGTTCTTAACTCTTTTTTTTTTTAATTTTATTTTATTACAGTTCTAAAATTAGAAATAGAGGGTGGTATAAGAGCTAGGACTTTGGAACTGTAGTGGAAGATATACATCTATAATGGCTGATGATGGTTGAGAATTAAGTACACCATATTTTTATTAAAATTGTAATTTAATAGATAAAATGATAAATGACCCTATAATAGTATGGAAAAGGAAGTATTAAAAATGATATCTTATTTGACAAGTTAGTGAAGGGGATGTCCTAAAAGCGAATAAATAGTAATCAAGAACAAGTCAAGGGATCATGATCATGCCCTTCCCTCACCAGTTTAATGAAATTCTGCTGCTAATAGAAAGTTTTATGCAGTGAATTGTGTGGAATCCTAAAAAATCTGGTTGGAATATAAATTTACAATGTGATGTTAGTGCACCATACCACTGCATCCATTTAATTTTTCTGCATACCCTTTATCCCGCATTTTTCAAAATAAACCTCTTCTCTCTCCCCCATCCTACCTGTAGTTAATGGATAATAATGACACTAACATTAGATTGGCCTATTTTGGACAAGGATTCTTAGTCTTTTTTTTTTTCTGTCAGTTGAAATCCCTATTAAGATGTTGATAAGAGAGGTATTTATTAGAATGTTGATGATGTTTAGGCAGTCATTAATTCATCTTCAATAAAACATTTAAATAGCTGGCAGTAGTAATAAGACTACATGCATATGTATGGCAGAGCATTTGGAATTGTACAATACAATTTCCATGGGATACTCTGATATGTAAGGTTTAGCCCGTTCGTCTCAGAGAAACTCTTGTGACACGTGTGTTCAGCAAAGAAGTTTACTCAAGTGTAACGTAAGTA